ACGTTAGAAGGCGCGGGCGACGGTGAAATATAACCGTTGGTGTTGGGAATGCCCGAAAGAGCCGTTGGCCCCTGGCAGTCTAGAGCCTGCTTTGCCAGGCTAGCGGGCCCCACACTCCACCTCGAATCCCCATCCATATCAGTATGATGCACATAAGACATGTTCATCATCATCATCATCATCCATTGCCCCATCCGCATCACATGGTCTTGCTGGAACTGGGCCCCACCATTGCGCACTACCATCCACAGCTGATCTGTCAATGTTTTATCATTAATCCTAAGATATCATTACAGTATCTTCAATTAGCGAATTACTATTAATGAATTAATAAATAACACAAACCTTTTTTTCGCAAGCGAGCGGCTATGTCTCCATCGCTCCTCTGCCTCTTATCCATAAATTGCCCCCACCTCGCCTTCTTCTCCATTCCGCAACCACAGCAGAGCATAAGTGAGCCACTCTAAGAGGAAGCAGAGATAATGGTGAAGGAGGTGAACGTGGAGGCGGAGCAACAGCAGCACAAGGACTATACTGACCCACCGCCGGCGCCGCTGCTAGATTTGGGTGAGCTCCGCCTCTGGTCATTCTACCGCGCTATAATCGCGGAGTTCGTAGCCACCTTGCTCTTCCTTTACGTTACTGTAGCGACCGTCATCGGCTATAAGAAGCAGTCCGCAGCCGATGCATGTGATGGCGTCGGCATACTTGGAATCGCCTGGTCCTTTGGTGGCATGATCTTTATTCTCGTCTACTGCACGGCTGGGATCTCTGGTCTTTATAACTCTTTACCTTTTCTCTTCTCAGATCTCGTTTTTGTTTTCTCTGTTTTTCTCAAGTGGTTTGGTTTGCAGGGGGGCACATTAACCCTGCAGTGACGTTTGGACTGTTCTTGGCGAGGAAGGTTTCGCTGGTCAGAGCGGTGTTCTACATCATCGCGCAGTGCTTAGGCGCGATTGTTGGCGTCGGGATCGTGAAAGGTATAATGAAGCACTACTACAACTCGCTTGGCGGCGGAGCTAATGAGGTGTCCCCCGGATACTCCAAGGGTACGGCCCTTGGCGCGGAGATCATCGGCACCTTCGTCCTTGTCTACACTGTCTTCTCTGCAACTGATCCCAAGCGCAACGCTCGGGATTCTCACATTCCGGTTCGTAACCCACTAAATTTCTTACGAGGTAATGCATTCTTAGCTTTGCATCCGAGTATAAGATCATTCCTCTTCTAGGTCTTAGCCCCGCTTCCTATTGGATTTGCGGTCTTCATAGTCCACCTGGCCACCATTCCCATCACCGGAACCGGCATCAACCCAGCCAGAAGCCTGGGCGCCGCTGTCATCTACAACCAACACAGCGCCTGGCATAATCATGTACGATATCTTCAGAATTTCATGCTAAAAGTAGTAAATGATTTCTAGCTAGTTTCTCTTCTAATCCGTTTTATTCTACGCAAGCGCAGTGGATCTTCTGGGTAGGCCCTTTCGTCGGAGCGCTTGCAGCAGCGGCGTACCATCAGTACATTCTCCGGGCGGCGGCGATCAAGGCCTTGGGCTCCTTCCGCAGCAACCCAACCAACTGAGCTCTCACTCGGATCCCGCCTTACTCTCACTCTTCTGGCTTTGTTGTGTGTATCAAGAGAGTACTGTGAGGTTTAGATCATCTTTATCATCTTCTCCTTCTTTGAATTTCATTTGTGAATGAGGACGATCATCGTTGCATCCATCTGATGTAATTGCTAAGTAGATTGCTTCTGTTTGTTTCTTGTTGGTGTGTTATTTTTACTGATAGTTAATTTGTTATCAGATTATGGTGCTCGTCACCATCGCCTTTATTAAGTAAGTGATCATTAGCGATTTTTGCTTTGCGATTGAAGCCTTAGATCTCTACCACTGGGATAGAGAGAGAGAGAGAGAGAGTGCACTGATTAAAGAGGAATCCTATGATGCGCTTACAACTTGACATGTGCTTGCTTTCTTTAAAGATAAAAATAAAAAATTTCTTTTAAGTTGGCTCTGGGCTTTGTGGCTCTAGCTTGGATGGCGCCGTTTGTGTAGCCGAGGCTGCACGGTCTTTTAGAATGTGGGCCTGGTGGTGCAGAAGGCGTGAGCGGAAAGCGAAGGACTATGTGTCGTTATTGGGCTGGCTATTATTTTTTTATTTTTTTTTACATTGCGCTGGCTGTTGTGGATAGAGATTGCAAGAATTAGGGTTATGGCTCTTTTCTCTCTCAAATTTTAACTGTTTCTTTTTAGTATTTTTTTTGATGTATTTTTAAAAAAGAGAGTAGTTAATACACAATTTTAATTATATTTTAACTGTTTTTTTTTTTGAGTATTTTTAAAAATATAGCAAAAACGTATCAATTAATATCTTACTCATTGAGTATTATTTGCTATCATTTTATTGTGTTTTTGTTACGTTTTTTAAATACTCAGAAAAAAAAAAAACAGCAAAAGAATAGTTAATATGAATAAAATTATGTATGAGCTGGTATGTATGTAAATTTTATGCTATATCACTTTATTTTATGTTATTTACATATCTAACACTTAAAACATTAATATTACATGACTATCACCCATAGAACAAATTTGGGTGCATGGAATGAAATATTAAAGTTTATAAGATTGTATGAAAGATATAAATGAATTATAAGAGCGGTATATTTGATATTAAAGTTGTATATGAGTGGTAGGCATGTAATATTAATATTTTGAGTGTTAGATATGTAAATAACATAAAATAAAGTGATATGTGTGTAAATTTTCCTTATTTTTTTTAAAAATGCATCAAAAGCGCATGAAATCTGGACGAAAAATTAGGTCCGGTGACCGGACGAAATAATTTGCCTTGGAATAGGAACACAGTGCGATGATATTAGCGCGCACTGTAGGTGGCGGTAAATAATATTTATTTCATTAATTAAGTTAACTAAGTTTTAGGAGTTACAATTATTTTTTCCGTAGGGGGAGGATGCTTAATGAGCCGCTGGCTCGATCGATCCTATATTTGACAATTCAACACAGTAAAGCTGAACACTCTAATAAAAAATAAAAGCATTTTGATCTTATTTTTGTATGTGGTGTGGAGTCTAGTTGCAGGTTGTGTAAAGGCTGGCTACAGTGAGGGTTGGGTGGGCGCCGCCAGCATTATTGATCTGTTGGCCCCCACATGTGGACAAGTGATGTATCAAAAGCACTTGAAATTTTAAGATCTATTTATTTATCATTTAATATGATTTTTATATATAATATTTATTTTTTCATTATTTAAAAGATATCTTTCTCATCTTCTACGTTATAATCTCATCAAGAAGATTGGATATTCGATGGGTTGTGAGGATTGTAGGGGTGAACAAGCAATATGATCTTAGATGGATGACAAGCGAGACGAGAAATTGTGCGGTCACTGAATGATTCAGAGGTGAATAAAAATGTGCCACATTATCCAGTATCTAGCAGTACATAATTAGTGGCACACTGCAAAAATATGATATGTTCAGTGCTTGGTGACAAGCAAGATAACCGATGACCTTAGATGGAGAAATTATGATGTGCGGTCACTGATTGGTTCAGAGATGAATCAAAATGTGCCA